AAGTTAGTTGAATATATATATATATACACATACATATTCAACCAGAATGTAATATAAATATTTTTCTTCCTTATACAGTATATTTTCTACATCAGTCTAAATCTGTTTCTCCTCCTCCTCTCTGTCATGAAGAGGTATAATATTGGAGTCATTTTTTACTTCTTCTTTTCTTTATTCTATCACTATATAACATAAGTTACCAGGTCTTATTGATTCTAGGTTTACAATAACCTCTCGTAAGCCCCTTTCTCTCTAATCTCCTGATAGTATCCTAATTCAGAGCCTCATATCAACCTATCATCTGCACGGCTGTAACAACTAGCCTAATAACCAGTCCCTGCATTTAGCCTCTCCCTACCCCAAAATATATCTTAAATATTTCTGCCAGATTAATTTTCCTAATGTACAACTCTGATTTTTTATCCCCTTGCTCAAATGCCTTACAAACTACAAAATAGAGTCTAGACTTTCCAGCCTAGCATTTAAAAGTAGGATCTAGCCACAATCTATGTTTAAAATCTGATTTTCCTCTGCTTTTTCTCAGCTATTTTGTCCTTTGTTTTAATTCATATTTTTCTCCTCCCTAATTTTGTGCTTTCCTGCCTGGGAAATGGCCTCTCCTTCCTTCTCTGCTGATGCAGATTCTACACTTCCTTCAAGGTCCAAGGCCTAGCTCAGTGTCACATCCTCCGCAAAGCCTTCTCTTAATGTCTCATCTGGAAGTAACTACTTCCACCTCCAAAGGGCTCTGAAGGACATTTTGAAAATGCCTTTTTCTCAACTTTCTTCTATTTCTTATTTTCCCTACCAACTTCTTGAGAAGAATATCCTACTCTAATTTGCTTTTGTATCTTTTGTATTTTCCAATTGAATAACACAGTAATATTTGCGTGTTGGTCAACTAAATAAATAATAGTTGAAGAAATAAATATGTACATATCCAACAAATAAGATGCAATATCACATCAGTTTTATGTAAAAGAAAACATGCTCTAAAACATAGAAAAATACCGTATTTGATACTGTAGCTAGACATCCGCAAAAAAAGAAAAAAAAATACATTGAAAAGGAATACATATTTATATCTAGGTAACAAAATAAAAGAATCTTTTCTAAGAAAGGTATCAGAGTACTTACTTTAATCAATATATTCTATTACAAAGCTTGCACATAGTTTTTAATGGCCAAACATACCCAGTTTTTTCATTTTCACATTCTTTATTACTAATACTAGGAAATGCTCATGATTTGGCTCTAGATAGTTGAAATAACATTTGAAACACCATCAATTCTAAATATAATCAAAGTGAACCCAGAATCTGGTAATTTATTTCCTGAAAAATAGAGTTAATGTCGATGTTTTATTATGAACCTTTGAAATCACTATCAAATTCGTTTTTTTTTTTCATGTGTGCCTAGTGAAGTGCTTGGTACATAAACACTCACCAAATATTGAATGAATCAATCAACAAGAGTGCTGATGGTAGTTTAGCTACTACCCTTTTGAGTGGTAATCATGCACCAAGAAATTGAACTGATAAAGAGATGCATAGAAAATAGGTGCTCAGTAAATATTTGTTGAGTTTAATTCATATAATTTTAGAGCTCGCCATAGTGATTCACGCCTCTAATCCCAGCACTTTGGGAGGCTGAGGCAAGAGAATCGCTTGAGGCCCAGAGTTCAAGACCAACCTGAGAAATATAGTGAGACCTCCATTTCTAATTTTAAAGATAGATAGATAGATAAATAGATAGATAGATAGACATGTACATAAATATATAGATATATATAAAATGTAAATTTTAAAAATGTATATTTGAATATATAAATTTATATATTTGAATATATAAATATATATTCATAAATATATGTGGTATATATGGATATATATTTATAAATATATTGGCTATGCCTCTACAAATATTTTAATATATAAATATATGAGTATATAAATATATATTAAAATATAGATAGCTATATATACATGTATACATATCTATATATGTATATAGCATTTACATATTTAGATCTATATATCTATCTAATATATATATACATAGATAACATATACATATGCATATATACATATAGATAAACATATATATCTGTGGATATATAGATACATACATATCTATAGTTATATAATTTTAGTGCTGGAGAGGACCTTAGAGATGATATACCTTCTGGTTATTGCTCTCTATGAGTACACAGAGCTTTTTGCATATGCTTATTATGCTTATGGAAGCACACATACTAGCAAGTACTTAGTTTTCTTCATGTTAACTCCTTGAAGGCAAAGATGTGATGACACACCTTCCCCACCTAGCCGGATGCTTGCTTGGCAGATTGTAGGCACTTAAATGCTTGCTAAATGAGTGAATGAGAGTTAGTCTAGACCTCTGTTATCCAATATAGTAGCCATTAGCCATATGTGGCTATTTAATTTAATTATAATTAAATAAAATGCAAAATTCAGTTCTTTAGTCACACCTACTGCATTTCAAGTGTTCAGTCACCACATGTGGCTAGTGACTACCATATTGGACAGAGCAGAGAATATTTCCATCATTGCAGAAAGTCCTGTTGGACAGCGTTGATCAAGACTATTTCCCTCACTCTGCAGAACAGAGTAAGTTCAGGGAAGTTTTTACTTGCTCAAAATTAAACCATCAGAAGCAGAACTGAGATTAAAACTGGGAACTCCTAGCTCAATATCCATTGTTGTTGAGTCATACCTCTGATTCATTTCAAAATTCTAATGGTATGTAGCCTTAACTTAAAGCTCCATATGAGCTTATGGACATTATGGGAAACATCGTCTTTGTCTTATCATTGTCATAGAAGCAATTTTATTTTTGTATCTTACTTGATCACTTTGCATGTTGTATAAAAATATATATAACAGGTAAAAAAATGTACTTGGAAGTTCTTTACCTCTGGTATAAAAGGAAAAAAATAACGCTAATTTTAAAAATGCTTTCCAGGTATCTAGCTAAATAAAATACTACAGTATTCTGGTTTTGTACCAATTTACTTAGAAAATGCATAGTGTAGGCTCTGGTTGAATGTGCTTTTTGCTTCTTTTTTTTTTTTTAAAGCATTCCTCTTTGGTTTATTAATTTTTGAAAATTGTTTAGATCCAAATTATTTTTTTCAGAAAGCAAAGGGGATTTTTTTATTTGAAAACAAAGGTCATATTTAATTACAACATCACCAGATATGTGAGTGCATACCAAAGAACTGTTAGAAAATTGGTGTTAAAAAAGCAAAAAGTACAATGACAGAAAACATGATATAGTGCACCTTTAAGAGGATGATACAGGCTAATTGGATAAAAACACACACCTCCCAACCATTTCTACATACACATATGTACAGGTTATATAAGCAAAGTAAATCAACAAATTATTAAGATTTTCCAGATTTGGAATTTCAGGTGGGATTGGTTTCAATTCTTAAAACATTTTCTCAACTGTTTTGGAAAGCATCAGTATTTTCTAAAATGCTCTCTCAGAGAAAGAGCCTCATTTGGTACAACTTCCATAAATGTGTGTGTTTATGAAATTAGTATTTAGTATTTCCCAAAAAGAGAAATCCAATTCTGCCTGATAGGACAGGAATAATTATATGAAGTCAGAAGTGATCATCCTCGTATCTATCCTAACATTAGAATGTGTAGCAGGCAAGGAAGAGGCTGCCACATTGAGTTTGAGATCCCCCGCATGTTCTCAGTCTAGGGTTCCCAGGAATATTACAATTGCTCAAAGAACACATTTTGATCCACTCTATGTTTTGACTGAAAAGAAGTTATTGAATAAATATTGTAGTTTCTGATAGAAAAGTATATAGTCTGGTGTTTGCTTTTAAGAACTACAAAGGCAATTTGCCATCTTTTCATAGAAATTTGAAAATTAGATAAAAAAGAACTAGTTATGAAAGAGATCAGGTTTTAGAATTAAAGGAGGTACCTTAGAAAGTATCTGGTTCTTTCCTTGAAAGCCTTTATTCTCCTGCCAGACAGACTAGTAATCAAGATGATAAAATGTCAGTACTTAGGTATCAGTAACATCCCTATTCAACCATAGGACCAAAGAGAGAGTTTTTGTTTGTTTGTTTGTTTTAACCATCATATTTCCTTTGATGTAAAACAAAAACCTTTTGCTTGGCTGGGAATGTAATTATTCAAGCTCCTATGTCATTCTCTTATAATCAATCCTCAATAACTCTAGTCAAATTTGGTTTCAGGCAATGGAAAATTAAAACAAGTATTTGATTCAATTTTGTTAGAATATATGCTTTTTCAAACAACCCAATATAGCATGTTTCCCAAAAATAAATTATCTATAGAAGAAAAAAAGTCATGGACTCCTGCTGTTGATTTAAATTATTGTAATTATAATGTTACCCAAACGTATATTACACACAAAATTCAATATCTTATAAATTTTATATCATTATAAAACAATATAAATTTACAAATTAAATCCAACATAATGTCCTAAAAATATGTTTTAAATTAACAATTTTTGAATGTTCACTTACTCAGCAAACATTTATTTGAGGATCTAGTCTGTTCCAGGCACACAATATGTAATTCTAGCTGTTATAGCAAACACATCCCAAATTTCAGTGGCTTAAAAGATTAAACATTGAAGTGAATAAGCCAGTTACAGAAGGACAAATATTGTGTGATTTCATTCACAGAGTAGTCAAATTCATAGAGACGCAAGGTAGAATAGTGGTTTCCAGGGTCTGGGGTTGGGGAATGGGGAGTTATTGTGAAATGGGTATAGAATCTCAATTTTGCAAGATGAAAAGAGTTCTAAAGGAGGATGGAGGTGATGGTTGCACAACAATGTGACTATACTTAATGCCACAGAACTGTACACTTAAAAATGGTTAACATGATCAATTTATGTCATACGTATTTTCCACAATCTTTTAAAATAGTAATTTTAAAAACCACACACAGCAAATTAAATGCTAATTTTTCACTTACCTCACAGACTGATATCCTGGTTATAAATTGCCAATAGGGACCCAGACAGGTAGAGGCTTTCCCATCTTCCACATCTGGCATCCAGCATCATCCTTGATGTCAATATCCAGCCATCAGATGGGAGAAGAGTGAAAGGATCACATGCAAGAGGGTTTTATGGGCCAGGCCTGGAAGTTGCACACATTCCACTGGCTGGAACTGAGTCTTGCAGCAGCACCTGTTTGCAAGGAAGACTGGAAAATATAGTCAAACTGTGTACTCAAGAAAACGGCTTTGGTGATGACCTAGTAATCTATGCCGTAGTCCATCCATTTGGTCACCAAAAAAAGCCATTTCACTCTTCTTCCCAAATAAATAATATACTCATTCTGTGACCAAATGAGATAACCTAAAATCGACCCAGTCATTGCATCAAGTTCAAAGTGCAGGATTCCCAGGTAATACACAGGATTCTCCATCAGATCTTAATATAATTCCACATTGTCCTGTGACCCAGTTATTCCCAACTAAGAATGATTTTGTCCCCCAGGAGATATTAGGCAATATCTGAAGATATTTTTGATTAACACAACTGGGAGTGAGGGGCAATTAATGGGTAGGGGCCAGGGAAGCTGCTAAACGTTGTACAATACAAAGGACAGCCCCACTACAAATAATTGTCCAGTCTAACATTTTAATTAGAGCTATGGCCTATGAACTAATAAAATATCTTCCCTCACTCACACCCAATATATAATAATGGAACAAATATAGTAAATACTTTCAGGTGGGAAAGGGGAAAAAGTGGGACCCAGGCCCATCACAAAAATGAAATTCTGCAGGGAGGCATTGTGATGGCTCCGAGCTGGCAGTGGGAGCTGTTTCTCAGCTAGACCCTGTTTCCCTTCTTTGTGAGGAATCCGCTTATCTGTTGTCGTCTGTGGTCCCTGGCTCTGACCGCTGGAAATTTTTCCTCTAAGCCCACATTTGAAATGAGTGTACAGGAATGTGATTTTCTTGAGGAGAGTACAACTTTTAATGCAGTCTCAGTCTCATGATTTCTTTAGCAATATAGTACTTCAAAAACTGAAAAGTCTTTGATCTTTTTGCTTCTTGTCAGTTCCATATGCCAGCAACACTAAGGTTTCCTAGAGATAATTCTCAATCTTGATTATTTCTTTCCTTCTTCATTCCATGCCTCTCTTCCTCTCAATTTAAGGAGGCTACTTTGAGACCATCAGACTTAAATGTGAAGACCACCTCCTAAATAAAATCTTTGCTTCATGGCTGAGTCTTAACAGGGCCTTGTTGCTCAAGAGCTTTTTCAATCTTATTTCCTATTCATTGAAGTATAGAGCAGTTAGGTTTTCCAATTTCCTATTCATTGAAGTATAGAGCAGTTAGGTTTTCCAATCTTTTGAGGCTCCAAATTTCTGGACTCTCTCTATATTCCTTTTCATTTATGCTTGCAAACCTGCTAATTATTGCATGAGTTCATCTCATGTTTCTAATATCTTACTGAATGCAGCCAATAAATATAACCTACTAACATTCCATTTTCCATTCTCTTCTAGAACTATGGGTTTTGTAGGTACCTTACCTTTTTTCCAAATTACTGCAGGCATAAGGTTGATGGGAAAGCTTCCCCTCTGTCTTCTGAAGGTTTGCCGAAATGACTGACAATAGACAGAGGAGAAAATCAATTCACAGGAGAAAATGCTTACAAATTTATTAATGCACATGGACAGAGTAGTAGTGCAAATATGAGACTCAAAGAAAGACTAGAGGGTTGAGACTTAAATATCCTCTTCATAGGGAGAGGTAAAGGGGGAGTGTACACAGTTTTAAGTGGTAGTAAATGCTTTTCAAGAGAATTGAATAAGCCTGTAGGAACTGTCACACCTCTGGCAGCAAGCAGTCAGCACACATCTATTCACTCTATTGTTTTACCTGAGAGTTAACTAAGGATAGGTCTATAAATTCAGATCATTTCAAAAAATAGGTATTGAATACTCACTAGGTACTGGGATATTAAGAAAAGATACAAAGATGATCAGCAAATCACCTCTGTCTTTAAGAAACTTGCATTATAAGTACCGGAGTAGATGCTTAGACCTGCTGTCTCAACATTCCTTCCACCATCCTATTCATTCCACCACCTTTCAGTTGGAAAGCTGAAAATTACATTTCTCAGACTCCCTTGACACTCAAGTTTTAGGTGCAAATAAAGCCTGTCAAATATATGCCCTTATGAAAACACAGGCATAAGTGAAAGGGAGGCTCTCTTCTTGCTGCTGTGTCACTTGCAAGCAAGGTGTGATGACATGTCTGTAGTATTCAAACTCCTCATAGTCTTGATAGGTGTGAGAACCAGTGGCGCTGGTGGCAGCAGCAGCGTATTCTAGTGTCAGCGTCCCATCCCAGCTACAGTGTATGTTAGAATAAGCTAGCCTTATGCTGTAGTGACAAGCAGCCCCCAAAATCTCAGTGGCTTAATATAAAAAAGGTTCTTTCTCACAGGCAAAAATGTTTCCTGCAGTTGTGGGCAGTTGCTTTCCATGTGCTGACTCAGAGATGTGGGCTACTTCAATCTTGTGGCTGCTACATCTTAACCCAAGGTCTCCTCCATGACTATTGTGGCAGGGAAGAGAAAGTCTAGAGAACTGCTCAAAGGCTTTTCACTGTCTCATCCTGGAAGTGACGCTTCTCACATTTTATTGGTTACAACTCATCACAAGGCCCCACCCAACTGCAAGGGAACTGGGAACTGTAAATTCCCATATGCTCAGAAGTAAAGGAGGACCAGATACTAGTGGACACTAGTAATGTTTACCACAAGGCATGTGACTTTGAATTCAGCAGGCTGCTTACCTCAACTCCTCCAGCCCTTCTACGGATTTCAGAAGCAATGAATTGCCTGGATGGAATCCCTTTGTTTTTTTTGAAATATCCGAAGTGGTTTTGGCTTCCTACAGTGAACCCTGACTGTATCATTTGTATGCTGGTGGCTTTCCATCCTCTTCCATCCATTCTATAACTTTCAATGCCCTACTTTGTGCCCCAAGAGTCTGTCCTCTATGAACCGCATGTTCTGGGGCCCTCTACCCTCTGACCTTGATTGGTTTTGGATCATGGGAGGCACCACCAAGAGATCAGAAAGTAGGAAGTGAGAGAAATCAGGATATTTGTCCCCTCTTCATTTCAAATTCTCACTAGACTGTGGGTCCCTTACCCTGTCAACTTTGCGAAGAGTCCTTTCATTAAACTTTCCTCATTTAAACATGTTGAATATGATATCTGTTTCCTGCCTTGACCGTGACTCCTATTAGGTGTTTCATCATCTAACCATGAGTCTAAAAAAGAGTAACAGACTGTCTTCCATCTTATAAAGCAGAAGAGCTTTATAAAGTGCAAATCTGAATATATCATTCCTCTGCTTTAAAACTTCAGTAGCTCTTTGTTAACCCCTGTCACTATACCCGACTCTAAGTTGCAACTAGACAGAACTAATTTCAGTTCCCTCTGCAATATGGTCTCTCTTCCTCTGAGCCTCTGCACAGGCACTACCTCCTTCCTGGAAACTGCTCCCCACCCATGCTCATCATTCAGACCTCAGCTCAAAGGCCTGAATTCAAGCTTCACTTGCCCCAGAAAGCATTCCATAAACCTATTACTTATCCCTGTTAGATATTTGTATATTCTCCCACAGCAGCTGCCATTCACCACCATATTCAGACAGCACTCAGTGCTACATTGCATTGCAACTGCCTGCTTACTTCTCTGTGTCCTCCAGTGGACTGTGAGAGCTAAGATAGGCACTGCATCTCAGATCTATAGGGCCTATCAAGGTACTTGGCACATAATAGATAATCAATATTGGATAGTTCCTGAATGTTATTGAAAAAGCTTGAACTGCCCTCCTCTGGTCATCATTCTCTCTTTTTATTCACTGACAAAAAAAAATCAGAAAAATATTAATAAAAATGTAATTTACATTTACCCACCTCTCATTACTACCTTCCGCTCACTTCCTAGAACGTTTTCATCTTACTTTGTTACTATCTTCTATGACGACTCCTCTTGCCAGGATTACCAATGACCTCCCAGACATTCAATGCAGTATCTTCTTTTCAGGCCAAATCCTCTGAGACTGCTCTGCAGCACTCTCTTGAAATGGTCCTTTGTCCTGCATGGATCACGGATTGCTCCCTTCTCTCTCTGTCTCTCTGTCTCTCTCTCTCTCTCTCCACACACACACACACACACACACACACACACACACACACACTTTAGCTGATCTGTTTGCATATCTGTTTTTTCTACATTCCTGTATAAGCCCCTATGTCTTACTCATTTGCATGTCTAGTACCCAGGAGAGTGCCTGGTACACAACAGAACCTTGTGACTACGAATGTTACATGACTAAAATTCTCTGGGTTTCCAGGCCATCTCTTTCTTTATCTCCTCTTTCTCTGACTGCTTGTTCTTAGCCACCTTCATGATCTCCTCTTTGCCTACCCTTTAAATATTCTTCAGAGTAACTCATCCTTATCCACCTTTTGGGCTTCAGCCATCAGCAATTACCTCAATTCCCAGATGTAGATTTTTAATTCCCAATGCGTTTTTATGAGCTAAGGCTGCCTCTCTCCCCCTATATGTACTGAAAGCAACTCCCATAAAGACCCATTATCTCTTCCATTCCCAACCTGCTCTCCTCCTGCTTTCAATGTTCAGTCAATGAAATTAACACTCATCCAGTGCCCTAAAAGACAAACCTCAAAGTCCTCTAATGCATCTCACTGTCTTTGCCCCCTGTCCTGCAGGGTAAGGAGCTTTATCCATTACCAAATCCCCACCCCTGAACCTACCTCTGAGTCTTTATGCCTCTGAGTCTTTATCTATTTATTTATCTATTCTGTTTCTTTCTCCAGGAACACCTTATCCCACTTTGTCCTAAATCATTTTCATCCTTTGAAATTCAGAAAACGGATTAACTTCAATTGTTTCTCTGAGTTCTACATAGGTTTTGTTTTTTTTAATAACCTATCTAAACATGTCTTCCTCACTAGATTGTAAAACTTTTGAGGGCAGTTATTGCTTTTTGGTTATTAGGTCTAGCCAATGATTGACATTTTAAATTTTTTATATGAAAGCATGAGTAAACAGGTAAACAGAAAGAAAATATTTTCAATTAAACTCGTTCAGCGATTACTGAGACAGAATCTGAGTGAAAAGAACAATAACTCAGTTTAAAAATATGAACATCATGTAACCAAATTTATAACATTAATTGTCACAATATATGCATGATTACAGAAGGCAGGTAATTGTCATTCACGTACCTAGGGAGACTTTTTTTAACCTACCCTTAAGATTTTGTTTTGTTTTAAGACAGGGTCTCGCTCTGTTGCCCAGGATGGAGTGCAGTGGCGCGATCTCGGATCGCTGCAACCTCCGCCTCCCGGGCTCCGGCTAATCTCCCTCCTCAGCCTCCCGAGGAGCTGGGATCCCAGGCGTGCGCCACCACCCCAGGCTCCCTGCAGAATTTGATTTTAAGCATTTCAGTTCTCAGTATAGACACATATTCAAAGGGAAGGTATTATTGTAACTGCTTCTTTGCTCTTTTATCTTTTGTCCTGGATGACAGGAATTAGACAAGCTGTACACGAGAGAACGCGCCCGCAGCAGGGCAGCGCCTGGGCACCTTAGGCCCTCAGCACATCCTTTTCCTTTTTCCTACCTTATCTTCCTTTCATACTTGAAAGGCTCGTGAACTCGGAGTAGCCAAAGGAATTTGGTTTGAGGATTTCAATTGGACCAAAACAACGCTGAGGAGATTTTAACCGCCTCTATTAACCCATGGCTTTCAAACCCAAAGGAAAGAAATCACCGGAGCGGGTGGGGAGAAAGGAGGCGGTGCAAAAACTGAAAAGAAAGGCGGAGAGGAAGCGGTAGAAGGAAGCTTTCTCGGCCGGGTTTGTCTTTTCCCAGCCCCAGAAAGGCGTGACGCGCTGACTGGCGTCGCGGGTCGGAGTCCGCCGCGGAGCCCGCGCCCGCCCACAGGTCTCCGCCCTCCCGCCCGCTTCCGCCCCGCCGTGCGCTGCAGGCCGCGGCCGCCGGGGGCGCCCCGGACCCCCGAGGCGCTTAGGCGGCCGTTCCTCGAGCCTCGTCTCTCCAGGCTCTCAGACGGGCGGCAGCGGCGGCGGAGGCGGCGGCGAGCCGCGCACCGAAAGGGCGCCCACCTCCCCAGGCGAGCTGCAGCACGACCGCTTCCCGCGGGCGGCCGGGGTCCGCGCCGCAGCTGCCGCCGCGCTCCGGCCCAGGCTGCCGCGAGAGGGAGCGGCGGCGGCGGCGGCGGCGGCTCCGGCCGCGGCCGGCCTGCGGCGCCCCCCGGCCGCGCCCCCGCGCGCAGCTCGCGGCCCTGGCCATGGGGCTGGGCGGATCCGGGGCTCGGCCGAGCTGAGGCGGCGGCGCTTGGCCGTGCGCCCTGCTGGCAGGCGCCTGGCTCTCACGATGATGAAGAAGAAGAAGTTTAAGTTTAAGGTGGACTTCGAGCTCGAGGAGCTCTCCTCGGTGCCCTTCGTCAACGGGGTCCTCTTCTGCAAGATGCGGCTGCTGGACGGCGGCAGCTTCACCGCCGAGTCCTCCAGGTAACTCGTCCCCCGCGCCGCCTAGCCCCTGGCTGCTTGGCCAGGGCTTGCTGGATGGGCAGCATCTCTCCTTGACCCATTTGCTCGCCTTTCCCTAGAGACCGCTCTGAAATCAGTCGAATTTTATTGATCTGCCAAGTGCTTTGCAAATGGGTTCATCTCAACTGGCCTTGGCTCCTGCGCTCCTGACTCCAGATGGTGCTGGTATCTGCTCTTCCCTCCCAAATCCTCTAGGAATGGGAGCAATGGCCAAAGGGAGAGGATGCCTCTGGTTTCTCTTAAGATATTTCCGTATTTGTGAAATGCAAAGTAGAACTTGAGCTGTTAAAACAAAAACAAAAATAACCCAAACTGCTGGAGTTCCAAGAGCCCAGCTCTCTGAACAGAAACCTGTGCTTAGCACAATTCCTTCTCCCTGGTAGGTGACAGCGGGGCTTGGCCACCCAGTCGAAGGCTGGGGGTAGTAGGCCTGGCCAGGCTTGACTTGAGTCAGGTGCTCCTGGCAGATGAGACAACGGTCTGTGCCTCATCAGAGATCGGCGACTCCAGCTACGCGCTAATGCTGGTTGAATTAGTCTTGAAGTGGCCACTAGTGGGTCTCGGTGTGGAGGACTTAGAGCCAGACAGGGAGCCCAGGTCCTGTCTTCATTTTGAAATGAGCCTCTGGACACTCCCAGAGAGAGGCATTAGCAGGTTACAGAATGAAACCACGTGTGGCAGTGTTTCTTGAGTAATTTCAGAGCTACTCACAGGTTGCCAGATGTACCCTAAGGTGCGTTCTTTGAAATATATATATATAACAGTTTTTTAAAATGAACTTTTGAGTTCCTGAGATCAAGAGCGGTTAAAAGTTAATGTTTATTTTGCCCATATATACTGGTCTTATACTTTGTTTTTGCCCTAAAAATTTTCTACTTTAAAAAAAAAAATCAGTCGTCCCTTTAGCAAGGAAATCGTGTCACTGGGTTGTGGAATTGGGGCTAGAAACTTGTCTGCTGGGGCAATATTGAAGCCTATGGAAGCCAGAAAATGTCTAGTTGGGGGCCGGGCGCGGTGGCTCAAGCCTGTAATCCCAGCACTTTGAGGCCGAGGCGGGTGGATCACGAGATCAAGAGATCGAGACCATCCTGGTCAACATGGTGAAACCCCGTCTCTACTAAAAATACAAAAAAGTAGCTGGGCATGGTGGCACATGCCTGTAATCCGAGCTACTCAGGAGGCTGAGGCAGGAGAATTGCCTGAACCCAGGAGGCGGAGGTTGCGGTGAGCCGAGATCGCGCCATTGCACTCCAGCCTGGGTAACGAGAGCGAAACTCCATCTCAAAAAATAAAAATAAAAAAAGAAAATGTCTAGTTGGCTAAACCAAAGGATATATGAAATGAATAGTTCACTGAAAATGGTTTTTAAAATCAAACTGTGGTGACACATCTGTGAATGAATATTCAGCTAATTAGTATTTTAAACACCTGTAAGAGAAGAATGTAACCTATTTTGGTGCAAAAAAATATTGGACCGTCTCTTACTTGTTGAAAAGCCTAAGCCAATTCGTGAAGGTCCTGTTGGTGCAAATGACAGTCTTACCCTGAGGCCCAGACTGTTTTGCTGCAGGGTCCCACCCCTGAAGCCAGGCAGTTAGACGGGTGCTCCTGGGCCAGTGGTGACACCTGGTGGTCAGGGCACTTGTCTACAGCTTCCTTCCTACCTCAGTTATGATTTGGCTTACTTCCCTTCCCACAAGTCAGTTATTCTGTCATTGTAGGCAGTCATTTATTCAGCAAATATGTGTTGGCTTCTAAATATATTATTTAATTATCACAGCAAGTCTATAAGGTAGGGGTCCCATTTTGTAGATAAACTGAGGCTCAGAAAGCATAACTAACTTTCCTGTGGTCCCCTCAGCTGGTAAGTACAATGCCAAGATTTTGATCAGGTCTGAAAAGTGCTCTGTATAGCCAAACCGAAAAGCCATATAGTATGAGGAAAATGACTGTGCCTTTGACGTTAGGTAAAGATAGTTGGTATAAAGCTAAGAGCAAGGGTTTGGAATGCAGTTGGTCTAAGCCTAAACCCCAGTCCACCGTGGTAAACCTGGATGGGTTACGTAGAGTCTCAAAACTTCCGTATGTAAAATAGAAACCATCACTGTTGTGGTGTTGTGAGTATTTGGTGAGATGACATGCCCAGAACACCTAAGCATTGCTGTAGCACCCAGATGGCATTTAAAGAGGAGACCAGGAACTCTTCCAAGAAGATCCATTTGCTTTAGATGTTATATTTGATTCCTTTATCTTAACAACTACAAAATTGTTGGTTTGAGGGAAAGATCTCATTTAACAAGAAAAGAAAGAAAATCTGAAATATCTAAAGGAAGTGAATTATTTCAAAATCACAGAAATTTCCATTAGTGGGTGCCAGTCAAGGCAGTGCATCTCTAATTGAATGCTAGATTCTAATTTTTTAAAAATTGCTGTATGTGCCTGTTAAAAATCAGGTGCAGTTAACACTGTAACATTTCTCCTGTACAAATATGAAATGAATTAGAAAAGAGGTAACATAGCAGGCCCAAGACTGCTATTCTTAGAAAGGCTTACGTATAAGGCTGGCCCTTGGCTGGCATCTGGGAGCTTGAATGGTAAATGGTTCCATACATGATGCAAAACTTTACCTAAATGATAAGAATGGCTCACTGTGCCTAGGCTGTACAGCATAGTTTATGCTCAATTCCATCTGGAATTTTGGTCCTTGCTAGGCAGCCTACATGACCATCCCTAATAAAAATCTTGGGCATTGAGTCTCTAATGAGTTTCCCTGGTAGACAGCACGTCACAATTTAATGCTGGAGAAACTAAGTGTGTGCTGATTCATCTTTGTATCTTTTCATTGTGATAAATCTTAGCCATGAATAAGACTGCATGCTGAGTCCTGTGAGTCCTAATGAATCACCAAACTTAGGATTGGGCTTGGAGATTCCCCAACAGATGAACCTATATAAAATTATACTCATCTTGCTACAGAAAAGCCTTAGAGGCACACAGAAAATTACATGTAGATAGATAGATAGATATACATACAGAGCCAAATATATGTATATATGTGATATATATTTGTTAAATATTAATGTATTTGGCTTTGTACAGCTAAACATGTAGATTATTTATTGTTTCCCAAATATTAGTTGAGCATTTACCATATTTCTATTAATAGGTCTCCATCTGGGGTTGTGAGAAGTACAACAAATACAAGTATTCACAAGGAATTACCTCTAATGAAATTAGATCATAGATGTATAATTGCTTGACAGTAGAAGACAGTATGACTTAGTGCCCAATCAATGGATCAGATAATATGTGAGTGTTGTTGAAATTCTAAAGCAGAAGAGTTTATTTACAACTGTAATGGTTACTGAAAACTACATTGGCATTTCAGTGGAGCATGCTGGGAGGATGACAAAGTGAGGGTGGAAGGACAGTTTGAGCAAGTCATTAACAGGAGCTGTTGATAGTTCAGCCTGATTGCAGAGCCTTCACGTTGAACAGAAGCAGAAGATAAGATTAGAGAGACTCTGAATGCCATTGCAAAGAGTTTGCTCTCTATTGCTCCTAGGATAAAATTCAGTCTAAGATTCTTGAACTGAGTTGTAGTGTGATTAAAGTGGTGTTTAAGCTAGCTGGTAGGCTGGGGAGACAAATCAGGAGGCTATTAAAATAATCCAGGCAGAAGCTAATGAGAACCTGAACTTGGAGGTGTCTCATGTAAGCGACTGATAAATGATAATGCTGTGACAGATGCCTTAATGCCACAACAGAAGTAAGGAAGTCAGGAAAAGTATTTGTTTTGTTTAAGGGAAATATTGTATATGGTGATAGAAGATATGGTAGGTTAGGTTGTATGCTTACCATGCTACATTTGAGGTGACAGTGAGCCTGATGAGTAGTTGGAGGCATTTATTGCGGTATGTGGATTTCTTAGACGTTGTCTTTTGGAACCGTCTAGGCCTGCTTACTAAACTTCTTATTTAGAATTTCCTTGCATTGTTTTTACCCCTTTAAAGATTATTAGTTAAAAAAGGCCAGGCATGGTGGCTCATGACTTTAATCGAGCACTTAAGGAGGCCAAGGCGGGCAGATTGGTTGAGCTCAGGAGTTTGAGACCAGCCTGGGCAACATGAGGAAACCCTGTTTCTACAAAAAACATACGAAAAAATTAGCCAGATGTGGTGGTGGTCACCTGTAGTGCCAGCTACGCAGGAAGCTGAGGTAGGAGGATCACTTGACAGGAGACAGAGGTTTCAGTGAGCCGAGATCATGCCACTGCACTCTTGCCTGGGTGACAGAGTAAGACTCTGTCTCAAAAATAAATAAATAAAAATAAAGATCATTAGTGAAAATTAATTTTAGAAGAATCTAGTTTTTCTTGGGATTGTTTTCAGTGAAGAGATTGGAAAAAATTTAAAGACTAAAAGGTAATTCTTTGTAATGTTATTAAAATAGTCACGGTAAATTGTCAGATTTTTACATGCCATAATTAATAAAATATTCGGAAAATACATTGTACAGTTATAGTGGTCTGTTCAACTGAAGCCAAATTGTTGACTAATAAAATACAGTCATGCATCCCTTAACAATGAGGATCTATTCTGAGGAGTGCTTCATTAGGCGATTTCATCATTGTGCAAACATCATGGAGTGTACTTACACAGACCTAGATGGTATAGCCTACTGTATGCTTATGCTATATCGTGTAGCCTATTCTGACCACATCGCATATTTCATCTGTTGTACAGGACTGTATTTCTGAAGATGTTTCAAAAGGACAATTTTATTTAAGTCTTTTCAGAACACTTCCTTTGCAAAAGCATTTAAATCACTTTTGAGGTTTATTAAAATTGTCAAGCAGGTTTAATTCTGGCCTACTTAAAGGAATAATAGGAATAAATTTTTTCTGTATCTTTTACAGTTCCCTAGTTTGCCTTATTTTGTTCATCTGTTTTTGTGCTGAT